AGACAGTGTCATAGATGCAACGAACATGAAATTGAGCAAACTTCAGCGGACGGCGGAAGACAGGAGGGCCTGGCGGGAGCTGGTCCATGGGGTCGCGAAGAGACGGACTCGGCTGTGCAACTGAACAACAACAACAACCAATGCAGGAACAAAGCAGTGATGTGTCCTACGTGACCACAAATAATTCCGCAATGGGGGCTGTCTCTTCTCAAAGCTGTTGTTTCTTACTGCTCACAATAATGGAGGTGTGTGCTTCTTCACCAGGCTGGTAACTGTGTAACTGAAACCTCATTTACATGTAAGGCTTGTGCAGGCACCTTCTATATGTTACATCACAACAGGTGACTTGAAGTGCCGCCTTTTATCCAGGGGTCACAGAAACAGGACAGATTGTACTCCCATTTCTTGAAGAGACGATGCCACCTGGTGGTGATGCCCACCTACAACCACTCTGCCAAGGCCCTGACCACGGGAGAACAGCTGTACCCTCAGGGCCCGGCTCCAGTGCAAAGGCCAACCTCCCGTCCAGCCCTCGAATCAGGGGGATGACTTGCCTCAGGCTGGCCATGGGGGGCACAGAGCCTGTCAGTGGTGTCTTGGGAGGGCTGGAGGACACGTGCCATTTGGGAGAGGGTGAGTCACTGCAGGGCTCTTTTTGTAGCAAGTACTCATTTGCATATTAAGCAACACACCCCTAATGTAGCCAATCCTCCAAGAGCTTACAGTAGCCCCTGTAAGAAGAGCTCTGTAAGCTCTTGGAGGATTGGCTACATTGGGGGGCGTGGCCTAATATGCAAAGGAGTTCCTGCTACAAAAAGAGCCCTGTCAGACAGCCAATCTTTGGAGCTGATGCAGAGCTCCTCTCCCCCACGCACGATTGTAATGGAGGAGATGACATCCTGCTCTGTGCTCTTCTGCTCCACCAAACGCGCAGTTGTGGCAGACTTGATGCAATTGTGGCAGACAGGCCGTTGTGACAGATGGGCAGACTTGATGCCGCGTGAGAAGTGTGTGGCCAGGGATTGGCAGGTCTCAAGCAAGGACCACATCTCAAGGGGGCAGCATTCCAGATGGCCTTGACCGTGCTTCCCAACCCCATAGGATTCTTCACCACTCGGAGAAGCATGTATGCCAGGCAGACAATGCCCTTGAGGAGCACAGCCTTCAATGCTGCCAGCATGTTGAGGCCAATGTCCATTACCAGGGCTAAAGCCCAGCCGGAACTCATTAGCATAATAGGCCACACCCAACAGCAGACACTCATTAGCATATTAGGCTACACCCTTGACAGCACAGCATATTAGCATATTAGGCCGCACCCCCATGTTACCAGAAGTGTGGTCATCCAGCCACACCCACCTTTTGCTTGTTATTCTGTTTACCTTCTTGTCAAAACCCAGAGCTTTTTTTGTAGCAGGAACTCCTTTGCATATTAGGCCACGCCCCCCAATGTAGCCAATCCTCCAAGAGCTTACAGAAATGAGTTTGTGCTGTTGGGTGTGGCCTATTATGCTAATGAGTTCCTGCTGGGCGTGGCCAACCCTGTGCGTTCCTGCCCAAAAATACCCCTGTCCATTACCATATAGCCACAAATTATGCTACTCTGTATCACGGTGGTGATCTTTTTGCTCCATGTGGTCTGCATCCATCCCCTGGACATGGAGCAGAAACACTTTGTACTGGGGAGAGTGGGAGGAGTCACTCCATTGTGGCTCCAGCATGACAGAACAGCCTCATCTGCAGCATTCAAGCATTGTGGGAACATCTGCCCAGCGCTGCACTTCTGCCTCTCATGTCCACCTATGTGGGCTCTCCTCTGCACCCCCATCAAGAGTCTAAAATATTTACACCATTTAAGATTTTATATATCAAAATTAATTTTTGGCCAGCAAACTAGATGTCACCTGGAGAAAACGGATGCTTTGGAGGGTGGACTCTAAGGGGTTGTACCCCACTGAGCTCCCTGTCCTCCCCGGGCCGCACTCCCAGCTCTCCAGGAGTTTCCCAAACTGATTCTGGCAACATTATACCCCAACCCCCCACCCGTTGCCAGGAGGGACTTGGCAACCCTTTTAGGGGAAGAGATGTGATTCGCCTAAAATCACCCGATGAGTTTTACAGCACTATAAAGGTTTGAACCAGGGTCTCCCTAATCCTAGTCTTGCATATTGTGCTGGCTCCTACCTCAGGACAACAGGGCAAATCCCGTTACATGCTACAGAGGGGAAGGGGTGTAGCTGGCACAGGGTGTGCTCTTTGCATTTTGTAACTCCCTCCTAAACTTCCTCTTGCCCACAACCCAGCACAGAGGTATATGTGCTTAAATCCATTGATAGACTCAGTTGAATGACATTTTACTGGTACTTTAAAGTATACATGTGTCGCCGAAACATGTACAAATATGTTTTGCCATGGGTTAAGGCCTGAGAGTAAGAGCTTGCCTGACCCTGAATCCCCCCTGCCCAAACCCCCAATGTCCTTCCACTTGTCAAAAGATCCCTTTTCGCAGTTAAATTAATGTTGCAATTTTCTGATGGCTGATGGCAAAACAAGTAATATGGCACAACCACTTCTGCTTTTGTGGGGAATACGATAAGACAGAGAGAGAGAGGCAGACAGAAGAAACCCTACTGCCAAAGGTAAGATTATTCCTCTTATAATGCAGGATGATCTACCCATTGAAGGACCATCGATTTGGGGCACCATAAACACTTAAAAACAACCCCCCCCCCAAAAAAAAAATCCCTTTGTCCAGTTTTGGGGTTGCCATGTTAAGAACTGTTGGTGAATTTGCTTTAATTTCTTTTTCCAAATTTAAACTGTCTGAGCACTTGCTCCTAAGGGCAATTCTCCAAAGGGAGACATCATTTTTCTTTTCTTTTCTGTTTTGCTTCTCATGTTGTATTGTTTTTACAGCTAACAGCAAAGCTGCAAGAGGACTGACGTTCCAGGAGGGACAGAATATGGGGTGTCATCTCCTTGAAATCTTGATTTCAGCAGTCATTTCAG